TTGATTTTACAATCGGCATGACGAATTCCCCTTCGAATGACTGGTGCGACGCGCGACGAGAAAAAGTCACGGCAAGCTAAATCGCGCATATACGACAAATGTGAAGGATGCGCATACTGAGGAGACTATTTAAGATAAGCCGTGTTTTCGCTAAGCTAGCGAAACCCGGTGACGAGAGAGAGGTTGTTTATTCGTCTGATATTAAATCACGGATTATATAAGATCGCGCGTATTTCTTATTCGACGATTTTTTTTCTTATTAACTGCGCGATATAGTAAACAAACGCAGCGAGCTAATCCGCTGATCCGTCTAATCAAACGCTGATAGAAAATTATAGTTATTTTCGGCGCCAAGCATATTTTGTAGTAGTAGCGATATGCGTGTAAGGTTATTATTATTGACACTATAATAATACTTAATAGAAAAATGGTTCTCCTGATTACTTTTGTGGTTAAGGTAAGGAAAAAGTATGTTTCGCGTCGAAAATAACTGTAATTTTCTATTAGCGTGCCATTCAGCGAACTGAACGCCTTTAAATCGAACAGAACGTCGAAATTATAGACGAATTCATTTAATTACGAAACCAACTCGTTCTTACTTAGATCGTGAAACTGTCATAATTCGAACGGTTCCTGAATAATTCAATTCCTCCCGCTGGAGAATCACTAGCACTAGAGTAATATTACACGGAACTCTTCTCTTATAAACCGGCACTCTTTTCACGAGTGATATCTTAGCCGAGCAGAGAAAGCAAGAAGAAGAGCTAGAGAACGAAACACGATCGGTAACGGGAAAATGGGTTACGGCATGTATCTCTCGTGACTAGGGATGACCGCTTCTCGAGCGAGGCTGTTTGCACCTTTAATGGTTTAATCGGCGCGAAAATCGCGATTCCGAACTCGTGATATTCTTGCGAATGTCGGAGCATGACGTCAAGACACATTTCAACCCCCCGGAAGATCGTGCTCGGAGAGAAACGCGCGTTGGCGCACCGCGTACGCCACCGCACTCTTTCGTCCAAATGATATCTGCGAATTTTCTCGGTTCAATTTCTCGTCGTTGAATCTCCTCCCGTGTGGTTCGTCAGGCACGACCACGCGATGTTATACATACCACAAGAGGTGATTGAAATCGCGAGTTTCCTCGTGAGAACGAAACACCTACGAGAAAGGAAAAAAAAGGAAAACTAGCCGACACGTGTCGTTTCCGTCCGCCCGTTCCAAGGCCGAGAGCGCTTTTCAACACCGAGGCGTTTAAATCGGCGACGGTAGCTCAATAAATCCCGACAAATCGTCCGGATAACGCTATCTATTAATCGCCGAAGGACGGACTCGCAGATTTATCGCGCAGATGCGCGCCGTTCTATTGTTGCGTACGGTTTACAAAACGACCCAGCCGCCATGGGGCTGCCGTGGGCAGTTTCGCGGGCGGCCTCCGGTCGTTACCGGTGTAGTCAGCCCGACGAACCCTCCAATAATTTCGATAGTTTGTAATTAAATTTAATGGCGTCGGGGTCGGGCGCGTCGCACGAGGGATTCGCTTAGTTCGTCGCACGCATCGCCGAATCGTACGGACGCGTAACCGTAAACGCTCGTTGCGTGCCGCGCGCACACCCTTTCCTCCTGCGGGACTCGCGTGCGCTTTGTCCTCCGGAATGCAATTTCTCCGCTCGATAAGAGTTTACCCGGTAAATGCGACGACCGCGGCGTCTCCTTTCAGCCCTTTTCAGCTCGAATGGGACGGTACGTTTCAACGCAACATTACCGTATGTTTAGTTATATTAATTATAATAACACACAGAGAAAAAAAGTTTTGACGAGATAGCAAGTTGTTAATATGATGACAGCAAGCAAATTTGTTGCACGGGAGAAGTAATTTTGCCGTTGTGGCGAAACGTCCTTGCGACGTCGTAGCGATAAAATTTAGCCGGCACGGCCAAATTATTTTGTTATCCACGCATCCAGCAAATAGCAATTAATACTCTTAACAAATCTTTCTGCTGTTCAAACCGATTTTTTTGGCTGCCACTATGTTAACGATTTGCTGCTCCGGCAAAATTTGTTTTCTCCATACTCGTACATACGCGTGCCGCGCGTGTGTTTATTATATTAATTTGTTATATTGAAATAATGTATATTGTTTTATTTCTGTTTTCATTCACGTCCCGGACTGTGTAACTTTCGCCGGAGCGCGTCCGGAAGTATCGCGAATTTGCGCCGTATTTGAAGTATTTTAAGTTACGACGTTATTCCGTAATTACTTGATAACGTGGAAAATTTAATGAATGTTCTCACTGAAGCTACTGAGGAGAGTCAGCTTTCTTCAGGGGATCCCATAATAATAACCGTCTTTTCTTTTTTTTTCCGTCCTGAAAGTTTCATCTTGTTAGAGCGAACGATAAATTTAGGAGGAGAAATATGAGATTCTTCTTCAAATATGACGAGAATCATGTTTATCGTCAGATGTTTTAACAATCTCGTCCCGGTAGCGACGCAACAACAGCCATACTACAAACATTAATTTGCGATGTTTATTCCAATGCATGGCCGCGTTCGCAAATACGTAGCATGGGTTACAAAGATTATTTGATATGGCACGCGAGCAAGTAATCCATTTTGAGTTATTGGGAGCGTAGCTTTCCGAAAGCGCGGCGGACCCGGGCAGCCTAGAAATAACCGCGCGAAAATGTGTTGGCTCCGAAAGTTTTATCAGGCTTTTGTTATAGGAGCAGCCCGCTAATCCAAACTACTGCATTTCGCACATTCTTTTTCCTTACCGTTTATTTCGTTTCGTTTTATTTCCGATCCCTTAGAATCTCTCCGGTGTGAAACATCTCAACCGCTCGCGAATAATTTACAAGATATGTCGGAGCTAGGACAATTCGAGGTTCGCGTCTCGAACACATTTAATTATGTAACATTCAGTTATTTCGGTAAAGTCGAGAGATCTGGTGAGCGTCAATATTTAAGGAAATATCGAGACGCTCGTCTTTCACAATGTTTTGCAACATCAAAGATCCCGAAGGAAAAACGGCCGAGAAGCAGATCCAAGTGTCTCATCGCGTTCTTCGCAAGATAATATTTCTTAGATAAACCTAATTATTCCTCGCGTACGCAGCGTTTACTTCTCTCTAATTATTAGTAATTTTAATTCCGCGCCATGACGTGTCGTAAGTGCGATGTTGCTTTCCATTGCTTTCCGTTAATTCTACACTAGAGGAAACGTAGGAACGGTTCGAACGGGACGAGAAAGGGGGAAAAGTTGCGGGTGGTACACAGCGGGAGACGAAGAGCAGCAGCGGCCTTGCCGCGGCAGTTCTCTTTTATTACCAGGAAAGTAGCACTTCCGGGTAATCGGTTTCGAGCGGAAGTTATAAGTTCATTTGGCGGTGTCGAGAGAGAAAAGTCGATCTTGACCTCGTTCCCGTCCTCCTTACCTCCTCTCGAAGGCTTGTTTATTACGACGGAGGTGTAAACCCCCCCCGCAGACGCTTAATAATTCGCAGAGAGGCGTCTCGAAATTCGCAAGCTCTCCTTTAAAAGGCAGCAGCGATGCTTTCTCCATCTCTCTCTCACGCTCTCGCTCTCTCTCTCTTTTTCTCTCGCTCGGCTCGCAATATTTATACAAGTCTATCCCCCATCTTAATTTATATGACGGATTCTTTGACCAGATCGGATATGATTTTCCCTTAATGAAAATCTCGAGACACCGATAGTTTTCGAGTTAATTTCAATTCGAGCTTCTCAGCCTCGCTGCCGCGGGACGTTTCTTAAGACTTGGGATATTAAGAGATTGCAAGAAATGATGATTCCCTCGAGGTATTTATTTTGAAGTCACGTCAGTTCCGAAAGCAGCATCAAAAATCCGTTATTAAGATCGAGGGCAATTTCTTCAGGGATGCTGCCTAAGTTCCCGCGCGTGCGAACGCGTGCGCATCGTTTTACAAATTGTACACACGGCGTAATTGCTAATGAATTGGCAAAAGTTGGTCGAAAAGCGCGACGAAAACGCGGCTAAACTGAGCAAACGATGTGCCCATTAAATCCAAATCAACTTCCTAATATGAACGAATGGTTTTTCGCCAGCGGCACATGACGCCGTGATAATATCGCGCGCCATTCGTCATCATTAGCCGGGCGGCGAATGCATTTCCTGTGTTTTTTATCCCGCATCCCGAATTCGTGTGTGACCGATACTCACACGCGAGCAGCGCGCATCTTATGTGTATGTGTGCGCGCTCGTGCACGTGGGTCGCGCGCGGTCCTGTACGCGCGGTGAGATGTAATTTCATTTTCAAAATTCAGATGCAAAAGATATACACAGTAGCGACTCGTGGTGGGAAGGAGATGAAGGGGAAGAAGGGCGCTCGATAAATCTGAGTTACAAGCGATTGAAAAATATGAGATTTTTTTACGTGCGAATTAAGCCTTAAGGAAATAAATCGTCGACAGATCCGTTTTGATTAATTCGAGATGAACCCCCCCCCCCCCACACCCGCTAACCGACGTGCCGGGATTCGAAATATATTCCAAGTACAATCTTTTCTCGATTTATAAACTTTTGTCGCTACAAAGCGATGTAAATTTCTCCGGCGTAAGGCGATGAAACTTGAAGAGAGCGACCGTTCTGCGGATGGGGGAGAAAACGGTCGCACGGATATGACAATTCTATCGAAATGAGAGAATATCGGGCTCTCTCGTCGCGGCATGAAGTTTCAGGCATTGCAATCTGCATTGTTTCCACGTCAATTAAACTTGTTTGATATTTCCGCTGCAATCACACTGCAACATCGGTTCCGCGCGCGCGCTTAATCGAATTCGAGAAACAGTGCTCTTTGCGATTCCCTACTAATAAACGTTGTTATCGATGGGGTCGACGTATCGAATCCCTGTTGCCTCTTACATTTCACGAGTCGACCACGCCCCCCCCCCTCACACACACACACACACACATATACCTTCTCTTCTCAGATAACTCGATTATCGCGTTTCTGTTTCAGTGCTCGCTAGCTGCCGAGGTGAAGACTGCGGACACGAGGAGCTGGTGAGGTGCGCCAGGCCCCTCGAGAGAATCAACAGCAACGGCCTGAGTTTTGTCACGAAAAAGGAGGAATTCAACAAAGTATGCCCGTGAGTTTCTTCGCCCGGGCGATCTCTTTAAGCGGAAACGTCCGTTGTTATTCGTCGCCTTTACATGTTCCATGAGAACGTCGGTGCTGTTCTCCGTGACGCTCCGTTTCACGGAGAACTCGTGACGGTCTTCTTTTTCTCCTTCTTCTCCCTTTTCTTCTTCTCCTCCTCTTCCACCACTCTCACGCCCACCCCCCTTCTCGTCCTCCACCCGTACTCGCCACGGGGAATTTTTCGCCGCGAGAAAAACGCCCGGTCGTTCCTCGTCGCAGTTTGTGTCAATTTTATGTACAAGCGGGAACGCGCGGAATCCTTCGCGGGATTAATCGCGCTAATTGTGACATTACGGGAGATAAGAGAGAAGCCGGATAAATATAAGTACATATAACGCTTCAGGCGTCCTTTCTTCCCTCTCTTTTTTTTGTTTTCGCGGATTCATAGCGGATTCATAGCGGATTCGTTGAATAATACCTTGCGCGTGTATTTCCATTATTAAAATTTACAATTTGAGTTCTCGTTAACCACGATGGAGAATACCTGGAGCGGTGTAAAACACAAAAGGGGTTGCCGCGAATAATTTATTGTTAATACCCAACAAAATCCGATTCGCGCTGCAGACGTGGAGAAAGAGGAAGAAGAGGGAGGAGGTGAGGGAGAAAGAGAAAGAGGAGGGTCCTTCGGTCTCTCTCGCGAAATTGGAACGCCGGAAAATAATATCCGACATTCTCCTATCTGCCTTAGTCCATTATATTCGTCCGAATTTCGCGATCGTATCGAGTCCGTGCCCGGCTTATCACACAACGAGCGATGCTCGATCGCCCGAATCTCTTTCTCTCTCTCCTCTCGGCCGAGTCGACGGGCGCGAGAGACGGCTACGTATGTAATTGAGTGGATGATTGCATGCAAGCTGCCGGATATTTCGCGCGATATTTTCAACGTATTCGCCGAAGAATCTTATTACGATTGCAATTTAGTCGGACCGGCGATGGCGGCGGCCGCTCCGCGGAAATTCGGCTCGTTTCATAGAACTTTAAATTTCATTCGGATCCGGTTTGCCCGCCGGCCAAAAGCCAATATGACAAATTATTAATCAGGATGCTCCCCGTAGCGCTCGCGTTCCGTCTCGCAGCTGTAGTAATAACGCCACTGGCGAAGACCGCCGTCGCAGTCGCAGTGTTGGACACGCGCGAATAGCGCCGTGATATTTTTGCGTTTGTGTTTCTCGAGGGCGACGAAACTCGCTCGAGAGTCTCCGCGTCTCGTTTTTGCGTAATCGATTTTGTAGGAAAGATGAAACGTGGCACGCACGTGCCGTTATTAATAGCTCGGCATGCCGGAACGCCCGGGAAGTTTCAATCGTGTCGCGCAAACGTCGATTTGTTCTCGATGTTTCGGCTCGATTTCATTTGCGACCCCAAGACATGATATTTTCACATACATACACACACACACACATTTGTGTTTCCTCATATCCTGTTCTGAAAATGTGATGGCAATTAATTATCAGGTATTAATTTGGTCGATCCAGAATGCTCGTATTCGATGATTGAGTCGGCCTGCGAAGAAAGGAGAAATATAACTCTGACAAAAACATTGAAAAGGAAAATAAAACTATGAGCGATGATTGTTCGTTATTACTTCTTTCATGAAAATTACTATAGATAGGTCATTGAATATTCATAGGAATCCTGGGCATTTGTTACTTTTGAAATTAACAGAATCTCGAAATTTTTTTACGTGATTTATATATTAATATTTATTTATATTTATTTCTTTAATTAATATAATACCAAAGTTTATGAGTGGCAGTGAGTGAATAGATGTTAAAGGTTAATAAGGCCGATTTTATGCCCTCCGATCTCCATAAACAATTACATTTCACACCGTTCATCATTTTTCCGATTCACGTATAGGATTTACCAAAAGTGCGGAAACACCTTAATATTTCTTATTTATACGGAACATTTTTTTCGGAAACGCGCAGCTTTCGAAATATTAAGAAACATTTCCAGAAACATGACTTATATTTCCAAAAAATAACTGTCGCGTTTTTGCCGTAACGACTTAAATGGGTGTATCCTGCAACGAGCGAGTAGACAAATAACTTGGCAAGTATTCCATTGACGTTACCCGGTGATGTTATTATCGCCGACTTAAATGTAGCGTCTAACTTCGGAAGATACGCATGTACCCACGTCATGCGCGGCATTTCTCTGTATAGCGCGCTTCTATTAATAAATCGGGAGACATCCTCTTAGATAACCTTTCTTCGTCGATCCTAAAATGCAAATCCGCAGCGAGTATCTGAATAACGGGCCATTTTTTTTTACCTTTGTTGCAGAGATCTCGAGGCTGGTATGAAGTGCATCACAAAATACACGATCGATTGCATGAACGACGAGCAGAGGAAACATTTCAACTCGATCTATATCGGCACCAACATGGTCATCATGGAGCTCTGCCAAGACGGATCGTACCAAGACGGTGAGCGCTGCAGCTTAAATTATCGAATTGATTCAAAATATTGTTCGTTCGAGTCGAGACGTAATTGTCAAGACTTGCTTTTTCGTGTGATCGTAATCAATGAAGGGAGAAGTAACTTTCCGAAATATCGTGAAAATCAACCGGTCGAGAGAATGACGACGGAAACATTTTTTTGTTTTTAATTACATTTTTTTATATTTTTTATGTATGTGAAATAATGCAAGCATACATTTAACCTCTGGATAAAGTTGAAGAACGAAAATTGAGTGAGAAACGCGTGAAAAGTGGGCAGAGATAAACTATTGAAGCGATTAAAAGCAAATTGTCACTTGCTTTATCGCAAAGTGATCCGACTAATCTTCCTATCGAAAGGACGCAGTCCGGATTCTTTTGTTCGATCGTTAAAACATCCCGTTGTCCACGATAGATCTTACGTTATCGGGGAGAGTAATAACGTGTAAAGTCCGCCGGCGGGCAAAGCCCATCGCCAATTGGGCAAGCGGCATCAATGCAATTCCAAACTGTCGGTCTCCAGTCGGAGATAGCACTAGACTCAATAATGCATCCAGCACTCTCGAGATTACAGGAATATCGCGTAGATTGTCCGCGGGTCGATCGAACCGGCATGACTCTTCATAATGTACTCTCGGTCGGAGAGGCTGAACATAATGAATCGTTAGCAAGGAGCAGCATCGATTCCTCATGCCGGCTACCAGCCGTGTAATATATATAGTACATCGTAAACAGGGCCGAAAAAACGGCCGTTATTGTCGTTTCATGAAAGACCATCGCGATCTCGGAACGACGTAACGAGGACAGTACACCCGTCCATGTTTATTTTTCTAATTATCAATCGCGTGATCATTATTTCGAGGTATCTTTCCAGGAATAAAATTGGACGTGGAAAGAGGGATCGATCGTGTTCGGCTTAATTTCAATTAATACTTTATTATATTAATACTTTATTAAGTAGTACAATCGATGGTACACAGTTCAAAACAATGAGGCAAATAACTTTTTCAGTGGCGGCCTTAATTATCATGTAATTAAAAATTCAGACGATGCCTTTATTAATCATCGTTGAACAGCTGTTCTCCGTTCGTCCCATCCTATTCCCTTTTCCCTCTGTAATATCAAGTAACATATTTTCGTTTCAAGTCAGCCTTGTTAACTCCGATCGATCCTTCGATCAATCTTCTGCAATTTCACAACAATAACTCGGTACGATTCATACGTATACGCAATCGTTCAACGGAGGGAATGCAATTTTCTGCCCGTAGAATTCCTGAAGCACGCACCGTGTATGGAGGAAGTCAAGGCCGAATACGAAATATGCTACAAGAACTACCAGAACACCACGCAAGAGATCGAGAAAACCAACTTTATCGCCAGCCGTGGATCCTCCCTCAAGTCCCTATGCTGGTAAGTCAAAGAAAACAGTTTCAAGATCGGCTCCGCTGCGGTTTACCCAAGTGAATTTCAAGTAAATATCGGTATAATGGTGCCCATCGCCTATCCTATTGTCCGTTATCACACACCAGCCGGAAATTGACGTTGGATGAAACCGATATCATATTTTATCGGAATTCGCACATCTTTGTAAATAGAGCGTGCTCTCGCGGTCCATTTGCTTATCCGGCGAACTTTGTTAGCTCGGCAACGCGGAGGCAAACTCGAGAGAACGCAAAGCGTGAGTCAATTTGACCTAGCCACTCTTCAAAATGTAGATTCCACCTTGACTATTTTATCTGAATGCGCGGCCGTGTGGGGATTATCGGCTTCCTCTGTGCGAAAATAAACCCGAGGGGCGTGGCGCGTTCGCCCCGGCGTGAGAAATCGAGGAGGAGGAGGATTGCGTGTTCGCACGAGAATTTTCTTGAACGAACGTAAACGGTCATTCGACGGATCCACGGGGATCCATGCGCAGACGAAACGTATAATCGTCAAGTGAGTGATTTCTCCCCCTCCTCCCATTAAAGAGTACACGAAAGTTGTTTATCGTGCGAGAACTCCTTAAGAAGAACAGGCAGCGTGTAACGAACGGAGGGCATATATACATATGACAATTACGTTTTCCGTACGTCACATTCTCGCGTTTCGAGCGTGAAACGATCCCTCGAGGACTGACCAACCTCAGCTCCGCCGTTTCCAGGTCGCGACGTTAACGTCCGCGAAAGAAAAATCGAGTTAAGATACGAGACGCGCGCGTGAGAGAGAGAGAGAGAGAGAGAGAGAGATCCTCGGAACGAAGTAAAGCATAAAACCTGACAAATAGATTCAGCAGGAGAGGCAGGGGAAGGGGAGAGAACAATACACGAAATTCCGAGGGTTCCGAGCGAGCGAGCGCGAGAACGCGGGATCTCTCAGCCGTGATAATTTAACACTTAAAAGCTCACCGACGAAACAACTGTATTAATAACGACGGCGTTGCTCAAAGGACTCGCAAAAAGTGTAATCAGTCCTTTAGGTCGGAAGTTTCACGCTGATGCCTGGTACACACAGGGGGGTAATGTCATTAGCGTATCTCTGCCACGGTCTACTGCAGCTTTTGAACTTGCGCATCCCTCGAAAGGGGAATGACGGGGGGAGGAGGGGGAGGGCAAAGAGACATAAGTATGCTGACCCGAAAGTGGATAACGCGGATCCGCAAAAACACATTTCTCGCGTCATTTTGTTCTCCCCGCGGAAATGCAATTAGGCTCCGTAGGTAGAAAGAGAGCGCGCCCGTGTTCCGCGCGGAAGAAAATGGACGAATTGAATTAACGTGTTAAGTAAATCGGGTATTTGTTCTGCGAGGTTGAGAATTTCGGAAAATTTCCGCGGCTTTTCCAGAAAATTTGCGACGCTGACGTTCTCTCGAGTAAAAAATAATGGAACGGATAACGCGCTTGTATATATATATATATTTCATCGAATAATTGACAGCTTGACATAGAGAACGCTATTCTCGTTTGTTTGTCAGAATAAGGCAAGGACTGTCACTCAGTTTATAGCCGTCTTTAATTTGACGCAGAATTGCAATATCGAGCGTTGCGCGTTTCAAAGCTGTCGCGTGCGCTATCTGGCGATCTTTCGGTCTATTAATCGAGCCGATGGCATTTTGTCCGACGTGTTTGTCACGTGGAGGAATTTTGAACAGAGTTTGGGGTATGTTTGTGCAGCGCCTTCAAGGAATACTTGGATTGCTCTCATCATACGGTACGCCGTCGGTGTGGCGATGATTCAGCACAATTCACGAAGAAATTCCTCGACAGGATGTCAGGCTCGCTAATGAAGGTGAGTGTTATATTATGTTTCCCCGGCTTTTTCATCATCTTTCATCAAGGCTTCTATCAAAGGCTTCTATCAAAGATACCCGAGCTAATCGCTCCGTTTGTTTCATTTCCCACCGCAATATCGCGTGCGGGCCTGTCCGGGATGCCCGGGTTGGTCCTTCGGAGAAATTCCTTCTTGCTGCAGTCAGCAGCGGAAATTCGTGTTATTTTCAATATGAACAGTGGGGTTAAAAACCGGAAGCGAGTCACTTCTCCTCGGGCTGTTTGACATTGGCGATTGTACGAAGAGGAGAAATTTGTTTGTATTCGCGAGCTTCGTTACCTGATTAGCGTTGTCGAAAGGACTGGGAAGTAAGTGCCTCTCCTTCTTTTCATCGATCAGAGCTCGCTTATGTCGTAATAGACCAGAGTACTTTATTTCTCAAAGTTATTTAATGTGCCTCCTCTTGTCGTGTGTTTTATACCGATACTTTGCTGATTCTTGAAGTAAAGTAACGCAGGAGCGGGGAAGGAGGATCTCGTCAGATAGGGAGCGTCGATTTTAGCGAGTAGTAAGGTCGATAACGAGCGCGCCGGTGTTCTAAAAGACGGACGACCCCGTCCGTTTGTGTTGCAGATGCACTGCGCGACCTATACGCACGAGGAGTGCTCCATGCACGGCGCTAGTTCAATGCCGTATCTCCCCGCCATTATGCCAATGACGCTTATTCTCCTTATGAGATACTTCACGTAATTGGCCGCGTCGGGATCATTTTTTTACCTTCGAAAGATAGAGAAAGGGAGAACGAGAGAGAGGGTGCGAAAGGGAGAGAGAGAACAAGGGATTCGAGGAGAGAAGAATAACGAGGAGGCGGGTGAGGAAGAGGAGGAAGGATAGACGAGATGGGGAGCAGTCCTAAGACACGGACCGACGCCGAAGGAGGGAGGCCATGCGGCTTTTATCATTCTTCGCTTCAGAGAGAATATATTCCTTATTTTCGAAGTGCTCGAAGAGAGGCCGCTGGAAAAGGAAAGAGAGAGAGAGAGAGAGGGATACCGAAGGAGAACAAAGAAAGCATTAGGTACGGAAGGAGAAGGAAGATCTGAGGGCGGCGACGGACTGGAAGACGGAGCGAGGAGGACGGCGTCCCTTTCTTCAAAGGGACGATATTTTTCATTTACGAGATGGCGCGAGAGATCACGTTAATCGATCGCGAACGGTAAGCAAGCAACAGCCAGGAGAGATCAGTATTAAGAACCGACGGGAGGGAAAATAGGACACTTCAGAAATACGTAAAAAGAGAAAGAGACAGAGAGAGAGGAAGGAGGGGGAGAAAGGAAGAGAAAGAGCATCGAAGGCGCGGAAAAGGATCGAGGACCATTAGTAACGTTTCTCTTATGCACGTCGCGAAGATCTCGCGAACGGTGCANGCCGGGAACGGCGAGGGGGGGGGGGGATGGATGGATATGGATCGATTAATCGATCGATCGATCCATCGGCAGGTCGCGATCCACCAATTCCGCGCGCCATACCGCCACGCAAGACTGACTCGATTTTTGCGCGCGACGTCGCGATAAGAACGAAATAAAAATACTCCATTATTAAACCGGCGAGATTCTCCGCGAGCCGCCTTCGTTCGGGAGAAGACGACCGGTGGACGCGACACGGTGTGTCCGCTTTCGCGATTCTGAGGAGTTCGCGGGGATCCCGACGCTCGGAAGAACAACGACCGAAGGGGAATAGCCGGGAGAAAGACGGAGGTGAGATTTATAGCGAGCAGAGAAGAAGGCAAACGTGTCTTTCCGGCACGTTTCCGCCTCGATTTCGGAAAAGGGCGCTCGTGCGGAACGAACGAACGAACTATCGTCGCCCTGAAATCAATTTCGTCGAATAATCGCGATCTATCGATTCGCGAGGCGAGTATGTCGACCTTAGAAGAGAGGAGGGAGGGGGAAGAGAGAAGAGAGATCGGCGCGGAAGAGTCTAAGCAGGAGCGAGGAATTGCTGCTGTGTTCGCTCGGAGGGAGAGAGCCGTAGATGAAATCACGACGAGTTCCCTCGCTCGAGGTGGAAGGCGCGCGTGTGTTTCGCCGGCGAGTACGCGAATCCGATCGTCGCGAATCCGCGAGCGAGCGAGCGAGCGAAGCGAATGCGGTTCATTGAAAGTAAAGAGACATTAGAACAAATATTAGAACGCGTTATTACGACTCGTCCAAGTCACGGGAGGGTTCTCGACAGCGGCCTCGGATCCGATCGCCCTCGGTAAACAGCCGGCTGGCAACGAAGCTGCGAGCTAGGTATGTCAAACTAATTTTCCCTATCCGCGGGTCGTAGGGGAGCGCGATTTTTGGCGGCCACGTACGTTCAATATTTGCGAAATGTGCGATCCGACACGCGCACAGTCGACGTGTTTAATTTCGACATCACTACGTGGCTTTGTAGGGGAAAAAAGGTTTTCCTTTTTTGCCGCTTTTCGCAATATGCGCGAGATATTCACGATGCGTTTCGTCTGGCCTGGTTGATGTAATTGGAAACATTAATATTACGGGGAATATTAACGAGAAGGAAACAAAAGATCGCACAGTGTCTCAGTGGAGCACCATGTTCCATGAGCGTCGCGTTCACTGACGAGCAGACGGGTAGTATATTCGTAGATTCGTAGGTCACTGCCACTTTGCAAGCCACGCACGCGCGCAGGGTGCGTTTCACACGTTCGTTCGGCATGCCTATTCGTACAAAATTCGACATGTCAGGCGAGATCCCAGCCGGAGAGAATCGACCGGATGAGTCTATATTTTTCTGAGATCTGTTGTAGTTGTACGTGTTACCTATACACACTCATGCCACACTAATTTAAACATACACATCACAACGAATCACATTGCAGACACATACACATATATACACATAATGACATTACAGGCACACACACGCTGCACAGAAAGATAGTATTAGCACTTGCATTGTCGTGTCTTAATCTTAAAGTAGGTAGCGCGAAAGAGAAGGAATGTTTGCGAGAGAGTGGAGTTGAGAGGAAGTGAGAGAGTGAGAGAGAGAGAGATGCACGCGAGAGAGGGTGAGTTCGCGAATGACACAGGCTCTGCCTCCTCCGCAGGAATCTCCTGGTCACATTTCCATTTTCTAGAATCGATTCTCATTGCGTTTATCCTTTTAGATCGGGGGATTACGCGATCCTCGACGCTGCCGGAGTATCGATCGTCTCGGATTTTATTGCGTTGCGTCGAGTGTTTCCAGAGAGACACATCATCAATTAGACGCTTTACGCGCGACCTCATCGGGAACTGGTTGTCCCGAGATGTCTCCTGACACGTTCCGGGCTAATTTTTACGTGACTTCCGTCGTCCGCACCGCTCGGGCCGCTGGTGGCCTGCGTTATCTTATTACGTTGAGTTTTATCTGTCATGTAACGTACGTATCGTAATAATTATTGAAATATCTCGTGATTATATAATACGGTTTCGTTCCGGAAGCAAAACATGTCAAACGGCCTGAACGGTCAGCGCAGGAAGCCACGGGAGGTGTATGAGGATTCGGGAAAAAAAAAGTTACCGAAACACTCGGCGCTTGACGCTCGCGCTTTTACGGCTCTAGCAAGTGAATTTACCGAAAGCACGGTCGTTTCGCTACGGGAACGTTCGCGGGATTAGCTTGGCAATTGACACAAATCTTCACGGCGCGCGTCCTCGCGCTGCGACATACGCGCGTTCTCGTACGATTCATTATGGCATGTGTCATAAACAATTATCGCGTTTTGATTGTTCACCCTGTGTGTTTGTGTAACCCATGATAAAATCCACACGAGAAAGTCATAGCGTTTAATCAAACGTGTCCCATTCAGGCAATTATCGATATTTCTCTATTATCCCGTCGGCGCGCGTCGTTCGTGCTATATAACGCAGATTAATAATCTAGAAATTAAATTCCGCGCTTTGGAGTGTGCGCCCATCGATAAACCGTCGTTTCGTTCGAACGTGTATATAATAATGCGGTTTCTCGATATTGTGTCGTTTGTGATTTATCATTTTGTAGATTCTGCGCTCTCGACGGCGCGCGCGCGAGAGAGAGAGAGAGACTCTCGGAGTTGTCGGCGAACGCGCTCGGACTGGATCCGAGGTAGGAATCTTTCCTTAGTTAGGCTTTCGAAAAAGGGAAAGAGAGAGAGAGAGAGGGTCACGTAATCCCGCGATTCGTCGCGAGGAGACCATACCTGTATGCCTGTGCATGTACGGAGACACTTATATTTATTTGTAATATAGTTAAGGGCGCATTGTGTACATATATGTTGAGCTGGTCGAGCTTAAGAGTGTGTAAGATAACTTAAATACATTCGTAATAAAATCCATTATTTTTCACTAAGCTCTCCGTCCGTCTCTCCGTTAATTGCGAGTGTCGGCGCGACACGCTCCTCCGAGCGCGACGAGCGAAGATACACGGGGAGGAGCGCATCGCGCGCGCGACGCAGCGTACATTGTCGTACACTGCGCGCGCGCGTTGCGCCCGTCTTGACTGCTTGTAAAGTAATAAGCATCCTTTCAGCCCTTCGGTAGCCCTCGCTGGTGCAACGTTCCGCCAGGGAACGATACGTCCAAATAGACACACCAATACAAACGGCAGCCGTCAGGTTTACTGCGCGCGACTCGGACGTGTCGGTGAATGACGAATCGCCTCGTGCGAATCGATGCCACCGCGTATTCACCGCGTGATCACGCTGTAAGCGTGGCAATTACATTTTCGCAAGGATGTCGTCGGTTGTGTTCTTCAGCCAGCAGGACAATCGCGCGCGCGCGTAACCGCTGGCGATTTCGCAACATCGCGTTGTTTTGCCGCGAATTTTGGCCGATGTTCCGTTTCCCTCTGGAAATTGTCATTTTATCTCACGTACTTCGGTGGTCTAAAATTATATTCTTCTTGTTATTATTATTATTATTATCATGTGGAAAATTTAATTGTCTTTAATATGTATACTTGGACTTTAATATTATTTTCACGTGTCTGTTCTGCTTCTCGTGGTGTAGTTTCTGACGGGCTGTGATATTTTTAGGTAAGAATATACTAAAGTCGAGGTAACTGAGAGAGAGAGAGAGAGAGAGAGAGAGAGAGAGAAAGAGAGAAGTGGTGCTCGGTTGACCGTCGATTGAACGAGATCGAAAAGATGCGTAGCGGCAATTCTGCATTCGCCGAGTTCGCAACTAGTTACGCATTAGATTATAAGGGTTGCAGAGGGCGCGGAGAAGGAGCGAGAGGTACGCCGAAGGGACGCGCCAACTTCGCGGCTGTAAAGGTAAGAAAACAACGTACTATGTGAGTTTGTAAGTTACCGCGACTCGCGGAGCTGTAGTCCAGCTTGGCGGAAACGCGCTAAGGGGCGTATTTGCAGAGTCGCACGAAAGCCTGCGAAAATGATCGAGCCCTCGGTTTCTGAGATATTTTCGAATATATCCGCGCGAATCCCGTCCGTGTGTGCTCGGTGTTAAAAATTTCTCACCGTAAAACTCGTCGCAAAAAAATCGCGGTGTTTACCCGTAATGACAAAATTGATTTATTTATTCGGGGTGTGAGTATCCCTTTAAAATATCGAGAAGAACACAAAAATAGAAATAAATTAATCAGTCACAAAATTACGATTAATTTGTTATTATTGTTATTATTAATTTGTTTGATGATGCAAAATAATTTACTAAATCATGTTGTTGAACTACGCGATTGTGACTACGCATGTCACGTTACTATTTGCTGATTACCCAGTAAAAATTGAATTCATCAGTTACACCTGTGTTATAATTTCTCACTCAACAACATGTAAACACAACACTTAACACATAGATATTGGACATATGTTTACCGGGTATTGATTATTACGGCGAGATTGAAATTCTCGAGATGTCTTACGAATTTCGCCCGATCGAGTAGTCGTTCCGTGGACGTACGTTTTCGTTTCAACAAGATTTCGCGAGAATTTTGAGCGTATATCTTCACGCTCCTGACGTCATCAGCGAGAAGATGACGGGGGTGGAGAAGGGCAGGAGTTTCAATAACCGTCGCACACACAGACACATAAACACACATATCCTGTTCTCGCAAGAATAGTGTTTTTTTCGTCGCGAAATTTTTGGCCCACCGATATCGACGGGGGTGTACAAGAATCGCCGCGCGACAGATTGGTAGCCGCGCAATATAATACGGCGATATTGAGCGGGACAAGTACAAACGGGGAAGTCAAGCCCGCGCGAAAGGGTGACTACCGCCAACCGTCCTCTTCTTGCTCATATTTCCACCGTATCCCGTAGGAGTGGCTTTTGCCAGTGAATTATTGGTTTATACGAGCCCGGATAAAACTACGTGACAAAGGCAGAAGTCCCGCGCGAGCCAAGGTTGCGCGTATGTGCGCGCTCTATACAGGGTGTATCA